GGTCACTAGAACACATGCGGATTAAATTAAGGACGGAGTTCACGATCAAAAGGCAGCTCATTGGAAATAGAGGTAGAGGTGGTCAGTGGCGCAGGGAAGGAGATGAGGGAAAAAAGCTTGACGGCTCCGACACAAGGATCCCTTCTTCGCCCGTTTACTTCCGCATTAATGCTGGCTGCCACCTTCAAAAATTCCAATTTTTGCAGGAAGAAGAAAGCCCTGGCATGCGTGAACCATTTCGTTTTCGCTTTTACACCCATCCCGGAGTTTCGTTCCCTTGCAAAAAGTGGGATTTCTTCAGCGAACTGTCGCACCACATGCACACACCCCCTCCCCACCTTACAAGATGAGACCTCAAAATTCTATCAAAAATTGTGAAGCCTAACGGGTTAACCAATGCCTCTTACGTTAAATAAGCCACGCATTTTACTCACAGGAAACCGCAATGGACTTGGAATTCTATTTCGCCCGAAAACAATGAACTAGAGGAGGTAGAAGTCAGTGCTTCCTCATGAACGAAGTTACTATCAGCTTAATGACCACAGAGATAGAAGATCAGGTTGATCAAGGCTGACTCGGACCGGGATCTCGTCGCTAGACCCGCATGGTACGAGGAGCCACTTGCCGCTATGGCACTCCCCCCTTCTCCAAAAAGTTTACTGTTCCCGCGAAATTTGAGTGAGACCCGATCTCCCAAGACATCTGATGGTGTTACGCATTCAACGGAAATATCCGTACCTGAGCAATTCCAATAAGGACTATAAGAGCTGTCTGTCCTAAACTCCACAACAGAACGCGTTCATTCAACTGTTCGGCACGCTTTCGTCCAGTGGCTTCGCGAAGACGGTGATGTGTTTGATAATCATCAACCTTAAAGAAGAATGGACTCCAAACGTAGCCTACGTAGGTAAACCAAGCAAGTACCCACCACACGCAGTTTGTCTGCAATTGCGACAGCAGAATTTTCAAGCGCAGTCATAGCGTGAGTGCCGGGTGTTGCACCTTTATTGGCATTGCTTTGGTCATTAACCTAAATTTCGTCACGCATAATCGAACAAGATTTCGTACTGAAATGCTAATTAACAGCATAAATCAATTAACGTAATAGATTAAAATGGAACAACCTGCCAATCCATGTAGACGATCTTGTGGGAAAAGGTTGAGAATTCATTTGAGAAACAAGCCTTGTAAGTACAGGAGTCTGAATTAGATTATCCTACCATTTTTCTTATGAAAGCTGTGCTGAAGACAACTCACTTCTGCCTTCCAGCTGTGAGTGTCATATTGTTTCTTGATATCTTTGTACAGAACTTTACCATGTGGATCTTCTAAAGTCATGTCGACGTCATACTGTCCTCCAGTAACAACCTGCAATAATGAGGCTAACATGTAGGTGACAACTATGAAAAAGCTGCGCGACTGCAAAATTTTCGATTTTCCATATACTTATTCAATCATTTTTTACGTCTTGCAGCAATGTTCGATTTGTGAGCTCAGCTACAGAGCACCTCTAGTAAGCATTGGTTTCTTCTACGGGAACTCTTATTTTACCTCTGAACTACAATGCAGAAACGCTGGGAAAGTATTTTGGCGCGTCTGCTTGAAGCATCTAACGGCTGGTGTCAGAGTCCGCGATCCGTCGCAGGTTTCGCTGATTTTCGCGATTTCGCGATTCACGCGACGGGTCACGGAAATCACAAGTGCCCGATCAATACTGCAAGGTGTTCTCCAATCCTGCCGCCACTTCTGCTTGATAGTGATGGCTGAATGACGACTGCTCATGATTCCACTTGTTTCATATTCAGTGTTTCAAATGTTCACACACTTGCAATTTTTGCGATCCGTCGCAGGTTTCGCGCAAATCGCGTGAATCGCGAAAATCGCAAAGATCAGCGAAACCTGCGACGGATCGCGGACTCTGACACCAGCCTAAAGCTTATAAAATCGCATCTCAAGTTTCCGTTCAAAACAGAAGTGGGGTCAAATTCAGTTGGAAGCTGTCTTGATAGGGATTTGCGTCATTATTATGATACTCTTGCGGTGTGTCTTCCAGCAAGTTAAAAATACAAGTGTTTTAGAAATAAAAACCAAAACACCTTTATATGGCAGCCAATTCTGATAAGATTGATAACGAAGAGAGTATATGCGTGCAAAATAGACGATAGGAGGTAGAAGGTCATCGTCAACAGCATGGTGAGCGCTAAAGACCATTGAACAGCAGTGCGCCCCAGACACGCCCACAGCCACCTGCTTGGGAAGGACGATAATGACAGCTTCCTCGAAATGAATCCGATGTAGTCATCGTTCGATTTCATTGTGCACAATTGTAACGGCTCCTGTCTGTCGCTCACCTCTGGCATAATTTCACTGCTCAACCTCACCCAAGCGACTTCTGTGTAAGTGGTAAACTCATGCTCGGAGTTTTGACTGTTCCTCTTGGTTTTTTTTTTCGAAGATACACCGCTGCACCACTTAGCACCCTTACTTACAATTCCTATCGAAAGAAACCCATTGTGATTACCGCCTCTAAGTGTCCTTAGATGGCACAAACGCTCGTGATTCCTGCTATCGCTTGAGCTTGAAACAAATTTCGGAAGATCTAATAAAACATCCTATTGACACAAACTAACATACAGCCCAAATCTCGAAATCTGATTGAGCGTATCTATGGATTTGACGTGGCCGTCGATGCATAGAAGTTGTGTGGATAAGCTGCTTCTGATATACTTCGTTGGATTTCAGCAAAGCATACTGGAGGCAATCTGTTTGCGCGGCTTTTATCCAGACTTCAAGATATGGGGCCTAGTGCAACAATGCCGCGGCCGGGAGATGGATCCCCAAAACTCTGCGTCTGTACTCTGATCGATGTCGCAGTGCTCGTTATCTAGAATAGGGGAATAGGGGAATGTGCTCAGACGTGCAGTTTTCGGGACCCAACCCGCGGCGGGGCTTGCTGCACTCTGTAATATGAACAGTAAGCACTCCCCACTGCAGAATAATCAGCGAAACATCATACCTTTTCAAGCGCCACCACCATCAGTCCGATTGGTTGTGGTCACTTATTGGGGAGGGGACGGCATGTAGACATGTGCGGCTTGGTTTGTCTACTCCTCTAGGGCTTAGTCTGCGCTGCACTGTATGTCAAACTTCCAGCGCGGCGAACAGGCGAATAGTAACGGTCTCCATGACCAAACATTAAAGGAATAGACGAAGAGAGCGCCGCACCGCCGCGTGGTCCCCCTCCCCAGTCGACGGACTACTTGAACTTGATCTCAGCCCTTTAAACCGCCTCTGCGCTTTCTCGCGAGTCCCATCTCCTCTCTAAGGCTTAGTCCTAGGGCTCACCCATTCTCTGATCGTCTGTGCTCTAGCCATCGCGGCAGGACCATTAGAGGAAAAATCAAGTAGTCCGTAACCCCCCCTCCCCAACTAAGTTAGCACCGGCGATGGCACACTCTGAAGATCCGAGTGTAGAGTCATTGAATTAGATAAAGATAATCGTGAAGTATTATAAAGAGACGAAAAATAGACTTTGTCTATATAGTGGATTTTGACTTGATTTTCAATACATAACTGCAGAACAAACGATTCAAACCAAGATATATGGTACCGAGCAAACCCTAAAAAAACATCGCCACACACCGTCTTAAATATCCTCGGTAGAAACAATGATTATGCATTATACAGCGAAGCATAATCATAAGCTCTATTGTAAACTCTCAACGGAGCAAGAAGAGATGCTTAACCTCGCGCATCCTGAAGAAAAACGACGTGGAAGTAACCTATGACAATATCAAAGAGAGAAACCTTTTGTAATACTATCCTGGCATTGTTGATCGATTTTCATGAAAAAATTGTTGAAACAAGGAGAACAACAGATGACGTGGATGTTTTGAAGCGACATCTCCAAAGTCAGTTAAGTGAAAACTGCCAACGGGATATTGCGTACGTTCGTAATGCAGAGAAGACACCTGACACCGTAATCCTCGACCGAGCGGAAAACGATCTGCCCGAACGGTGGTGTTTTTACCACCTTAGCTATCCGTAACCCATCTGCAAAACCTTCACGGGTCAAACGCTTAGATATGAGAGAGCAATACGACATATAAATATGGATATTATCAATCGAGTCAATTCTCCTCACGCTGCATAATATTGAGAGAATATTTATTCGCGGTCATCCCACGGAACATTTAGCGCGCACTAGCGAAGATCGATCCATACTTCGCGATCGATAATGTTTTGGCTATAAAGAGATTTCACGAAATTGTTGTGTGCTCACAAAAATGATCTCACATGACTCTGTGATTTGTTAAGGCCTCTGTGTTTTCATAACCCCGCCCTACGCATGCCAAAAATTTTTAAGACGTTTTCGCACAAAAAATAGATACACAGCCGCACATGCGTGTAGCTAAAAGCTTTTACTTCCATGAAATTGAGAAATGATGAAATTTCATGGTCGTTAGGGGGGACAAGTGAGTGAGCTGAGAAATAATATAGACTAATAATAGAGAAAGAGATATAACTTAGGCGGACGTGAGACGATAATATAGAAATAAAAATATCCCTGTTGTTTCTGCCCTCTAATAAATATAATAATAAGATATAAATAAGAGAAGCTAAGCCGGGCGGCCAAACAGTGGCTAGCTACCTGGCTCATGATATAATATTAAGAGTTGTTACAGAAACAACGCAATATCATAATAATATACGACAACACTAGACAACACCATATATATATAGAAAAATAGATTTGCATGAATGGGACACGTCATGGTCCACAGAAAACGTTAGTTCATTTTTAAGGCGTGGCTCTGATACTAAAAAAGGGTGAGAAGTGGTCGGCGTGGTTCGAATCTTCGCGTGACAACTTTTTTCGCATTACTTTAGTGATTGGCGTTTCAGAACCTCGCGACAAAATAGCGATCAATAACAACTTCCTGTTATGCTACAAAAAGAAGCCTTAATAATAAATAATAGATAGAACTGGTAAGAAAGTTGAAGTAGAGCATTCATCAAAGAAATTTTTCTTAAGAGATAATAACTTTTAGATAATGGCAGAGGGTTGCTCGGAAAAATGAACGGGCAAGTTCTGTGTCCCATGCACCGTACTTCTTATCATGCAAAAAACCATTTCCAGAAAGCTGCATTTCTGAAACCGCCCTAAGTTAGTTGGCGCTAATTGGCTACTTTTCGATAGAATGGCGGCTTGGTTAAATCTTCACTCATAAATATAATAGAGAATACTTACAATCAAAGTAAATGCTGTTCACTAGCCGTATATATATAGAATATAGAAAAAAAATTAGTAGAGACTTCACTACGTTTCTTTCTAGGCTTAAGAATCACAGCCTTAAGAGTTCATATAGAAAATACATCAGTTCTGAAGTTTTAAAAGTCTAGCTAGTTAGTGTTCATTTTCGAGAAGTCTTGCATAATCCTCACTCGAATGGTGATAGTCATTCAGAGGTATATACCTTCGTTGAAGAATATCTTTCTCGTCCCCATTGTTGCCTATTTCGAAGATCTGTGTAGCCTCATGTGACAAAGAAAACTCAATTCGCCATGGCAACTCGACAGTTCTTGCTCAAACAATTCATTAAGGAAATTGCTATAGAGACTTCACAGCATCTCGGCAAAACCTCGTTCATTCATATGTTAGGAGGGGATATTGTCGATTGGTGTGAGACATATGGGTTTTCTTAAGAAATCGTCTTTGCGAAAAGCGATGCATGTAGTCAGATTTTTGAATTGGAAGTAACCCTAAAAGGTGGCTCCAATGAGTGTTGGGGGGGGGGGGGAACCAACAGCTGCGAGTACCGTTCCACGCGATGTCCATTGTCCAATTGTCCGTCACATTCGCTCTATTTCAAACTCTTGCGACCCGTCACGTGAGGAATCTCCTGGCCGCTGATCGTGAATTAAAGGAAGTGGTCACGATAATTTCTCATGGGGACGATAAGGAAAGCTGTGTACTGGAGTGGATAGGGGTCCTGCCCAATGTTAGAACACGTGAAGTTTCAGTGGCAGTGGCGCCTTATCAACGGAGTGATAAGGCGCCGAAATCCACTTCCGTTCAGCAAAAACCAAGACTTATCGATGTGGAAAGGGGTGCGATAAGAGCGTGCTAGATATGATACCGTTATCGTTATCGTCCCGTTTTCATTCTGGAGTGCACCTCTTATCAAGCAGCCGCACCTTCTTATCTCATCGTATCATATCTTCCATGGGCTTACACTCGTCCAACAATTACTGCCTCACACCTTATCGATTGATAACGCGAGGGTAGCAAATCCAGCGTGGAAGCCAGCGTGATCGCTTCCTTTAAAGGCACCTCAAACACCCCTCCTCTCAGGATCCGCCAGTATCGTTCACAGTTAAGCTTACAT